AGTCCGAGTCTGGGTTACTGCAATAGCTTCCTAACTGGTGTCCCTGCCTCCTCTCTTACCCCCTTCGGTCCACCCTCCACACAGCACAGTGATATGTTTAAAATGCACATCTGCTTTCTTCACCCCCCTCTTAAAATCCTCCAAAGATTTCCCATTGCACTTAGAATACAATTCACACGCCTTCTAATGGCATGCACAGCCCTGACTGAATCTCATCTTCTACCACTTTCTTTTTCAGTCTCAACCAGCCACAATAACCTCATTGTGTCTCTCATCTTAATCCTCATCATACCCAACCTTCCTGCAACATGTGATTTTCTTCTTCCTGGGTTCTACAATGTCACATTCTCCTGGTTTCCTCCTGCCTCCTATGATATTCCCTCGCACTTTCCTTCTGTGGTTGCTCTTTCTCTTAAATGTTGCTGTTCCCCAGGTGTCCTTGCTTAGCCCTTTATATTGCAGGGTGATTGCATGGCTTTAATTCTATCCATATACCGGTAACTTCCAAGACCTTGTCACTCTCTAGAACTTTATGTTCTCAGTTACTTCCTGGACCTCTTTACTTTTTGTTCCATAGGCACTTCAAACTCACCAAGTGCTGGATAGAACTATAGCTAACTCCCATACACCCCGCTACGTTCTGCATCTCATGTACACTACCTAGACATCTAAGCCTGAAACCTGAGAGTTTTCCTCAAATTTTCATTCTCTTTTCCACTCCTGCATCCAAATCCTTACCAAGTCCTATGACTTCTACAGGGAGACAGTATATTAGTGGTTAAGGCTGCAGAGCCCACAAGACTGTCGTGTGAGAGAGTAGAGATGGGGGCTTTCTGTTCTTGCATGAGGGGAGTTCCAGCTACCTGCCCCTGTCATTTTCCCATTTTACTCTGCTTCCACACAGTCCTTTACTTCTGTAGAAAATCAAGCAGGAACTGTGACAGGCTTAAGGGAAAGGAAGCCACTTAGGTCTACTTTGGTTAAAGAGTCCTGCAGGCTCTTTAAGGTCCAGCCCAGCTCAGCAGGCCTAGGCATTTCTGTTGGGATATAAGGCCAAAGTCTTGGCTTGTAAAAACTGGTATTTGATTTCCAGGTAGCCATTGCTCAGACAACTCAAGGGTTGCTGGTTGAGGACTGTCTCGTCAGAGGGGAGTGGGGGAGTCTTTGTAGAATCTGCAGCTTTTTTTGATTTAAGTATGTCCACCACTGCCAGTTTGAAGCTACTAATATGATGTCACTGACTGGTGAGTTGGAAGAAAGTTGGCTCTTGGGAGCCTGTACCTGTACTCTCACCCTTCATCTCCCCATCTTTCCAGATTTCCCAACACCTATCATTTTTATCCAGTCAGAAAGTCTGGGACAGGGAGCTCTAGGCATTAGGGTTCTCTCTCTTTCCATCTCTTTCCCGACATTGCCAAACTTCTCTCTCACGTGATTGTACCATTTTTAACCCTGGCAGTGTGTTAAGGCACTGTATTTCCCCCACACCTTTGTCAATGTTGTCTTGAGTTTGCCATCCTGATAGTCAACGAATGGTACCTCTTTACTCAGTGCTTTTTCTGAGGCTCAAAATCGCTTTTACTCTTTCCTTGCTTAAAATCCTTTCATGGCTCCACATGATCCTTTGGTCTAAGACTCACCTCTTGATGCTGTGACACAGGACCCTTACCTCCTTCTTCCCATTCCTGGAATCTCTCCCTGAGGATGCTGTGTTCACTATTGCCCAGACTCAACCCTTTTCTTCCCATGGGGACTTGTTTCCACGGCTGCCCCAGGCACAGAACCTCCTAACATCAGCCCATTGGAAGCTTCTCTGTGGTTCAAGACCTGTCCCCAAGTCACTACTTCTTGAGAGTCTTTTCTTATCCCCCAACTATACGTCATGGGGGAGAAAGGCTAGTTGAAAAAGAGAAATGCAATTTCACATTCCTTTCAGAAGCTCCATAGCTCTTTTGTGATCAGAAACAACTTGATGGGCCTTTTTGTTTTAAAAGACGGGGGCAGGGGCCGGCCCGGTGGCGCACTGCTACAGTGCGCCGCTTGGGAGTGTGGCGGCGCTCC